TTGAGAAATCTTCTGGTCACAATGAACACATTTGTTAAAAGCAGAGCTCTAAATCTCACTGGCATCAAACCTGTATTATCAACCTCTAATCCTGGAGGAAACATCATGAACAAAATGCCAAACTGCAAAATAGATAAATGCACACAGAATAGACATTTTAAAAAACCTGGCATTTATTTAGCACCCTTCACAACCTCAGGGCATCTCAAAGCACCTTACAACCAATGAAGTATGTGTGGTCACTGCAGTAAAATAGGGAACAATGACAGCCTATTGGTACATAGCAAGCCTCCACAAAGGTTAATGACCAGACAATCTGTCTTATAAATGTTGGTTGAGGAATAAATGGTAGTGCGCACACCTTGCACATCTATAAAGCGGAAAAGCCATCCTCTTGTGTTTTATTCTCAGCCTATTTTGAGCAGCATGTACAGGGGGTCCCTTTATATCCAAATTATTTATACCAAAATGTTTCATTTTGTTACCATAACAGTTTGACAACTAGCAACTATCCTTCTCAGTTCAGGTGAGATGAGGATTTAGAAATAAAAATATTGAGAAGCAGTGTCTTTCTGGAGTTGGATTGGCAGCAAGACACAGCACAGGTGATCAAAGAACAGGGTGAAGTTGGTCCTCGCTGACGATCTGATGTCTAAGTCCAGAAAATGTGCAGTATTCCAGTGTATCAGCCTGACTTATTGATAGAATGATCAGGGACAGACCCATCACAAGGAGTTGGGGATCATTAATAAAGTCGAGCAGAAGGTATTTTTGACAGTTCCCCCAAGCAGCACATAGTCAGCAATAACCTGTGAACTGACACGCTGTTTTGATTTTACCAGTGCCACTGGATCTCATTCCAACCTTGTCCAAACTTGAATCAAACAGCTGAACTCCAAACGTAACAAGAGTATGTCCAGGCAACATTTAATGACGACATGTGACATCAAGAAGTTCTAGAGAAACTGAAGTCAACGGGAATTTTGGGAAAAATTATCCACTGCTTGGAGTCATAGCTAGCACGAAGGAAGATGGTTGTGACTGCTGGAGGTCAATTATTTCAGCTCCAGACCATCTCTACTGGAGTTCTTTAAGGTAGTGCGCTAGGCCCAAACATCTTCAGCTGCTTCGTCAATCTGTCTATCATAAGTTCAGAAGTAGGAATATTCACTAATGATTGCAATGTTCAGCATTATAGGCAACGCCTCTGAGAAGGAAGGAGTCTGTGTTTGCACATAGCGAGACCTGGACAACATTAAGGCTTCGGCTGATAAATGGCACCTGTGCCCCATGAGTACCAGACAATGACCACCTCCAATGAGAGAAAATCTAATCGTTTGCTCTGAAAGTTCAAGAAATTGCTGAATATACCACCCTGGACGTTGGGTTACCACTGACCTGAAACTGAACTAGCCGTATAAATATGTGGTTACAAGAACAGGTCAGAGGCTGGGAATTGTATAGCCAGTAATTCACCTCCTGAATCCTTAAAGCCTATTGCTATCTATAGGCATGTCAGGAGCGCAAAATATACTTCCCACTTTCCTGATTGGATGCAGCTCCAACAACATTCAAGAAGAGTGATACTATCCAGGACAAAACAACTCCAAAACATTAGCTTCCTCCTCCATACAGTAGCAGGACTATACCCAAATAGAAGATGTACTGCAGCATCGAGCCAAGCTTTCTGCATCTTCCAAACCAATGACCACTTTAACTTTGTAGGACAAGACCAAAAGATGTACAAGCTCATCACCACATACAAGCTCCCTCCAGACCACATACCATCCAGATTTGGAAATATATCACTGTTCCCTCAGAGTTGCCGGGTCAAATTCTTGGTTTTCAGTAATTCTGTTGGAAATATGAGGGTAATGGGTTTGTATGTTGGGCAGAAACCTGCTGATAAAACCAAAATGACTTATTTTTGTGTGAAACGCTTCAGTCTAACACACTTTTGTTATCAGTACCCATGTTCAATCCTATCCCTGAACACAATCAGCTTAGTTTACTGTCAGCTTTTGTAATCAAACTCATGCTTTCCTGCTTGTATGTTTTCACCTTTACATCTCTTTTAATACCACAGAAAGTGGATCAACTAATTTCTCACAGATGTGGAAATGCACTGCTTTAGGAAGCAATTCTGAAGACACGCTTACATCAAACAAGCACCCATTTTAGCCATCTTGCATCTTTGTATTGAGGGGAGTGAAAAATCCTTCATGGCTTGCCTGGGCACCACCTGCTGGGTAAAGAGGGGTCACTTTGAATTGGTGCTAGATAAGTTTCAACATCCTAAGGAAACTGAATTTATTGACAGGTATAGCCTGAGATGTTCACATGCAATTCTCCAATAATAACAATACACTTCAACACAGTCACATTATTGCTCAAATGATCCAGGTTCCAAAGAACTGGAAAAAAAGTTACTGCCAGCTCATAGAATGAGGGCACGCAATGGGAAGGAGTTTTACTCCTCAATTCCATAACCAAGGTTTTATTCTCCTGAGTATTCAGGTAACACTTTTTCACATTCATATGCCATTCAAGGCTTCAACCCATTGTTCTAGAAATCAGGTTGATGCAGGAGCAGGATCAAAACCAAAAAAAACACAAGCCTGAGATGAACGTAATGGCCCATAGGTGCAACAAAATGTCAACTAATAATATCAACCATGCCCACCAACCTGTATTAGCCATATTGTTAGTGAGGCTAAATTGCGACTGTTGGTTACAATGAACTAAAACAAGGCTTATCCCTTCCTCCTGGGAAGCCCATAAAATTCAATTGTTTACATGATGGGTTGTGATATCACAAATCTTGCCTCATCATTTGGGTGGCTCATGTACATTCAATTTCAGAATTGCTTCTTATGGGGTATTAAGTTCGGCATTCTCTTTTTGGATAAAATAAATCTGAGTACTATACAATAAGGAGAATTTTCACTTTGTGTGCTGCTGTACACACAGCAACAATAACTCAGATAATTAGTTCATGCTTCTCAATCAGATGCTGAGCGGCAATGATCAAATTAATAATGTTCAGTCTTGTAAGGTTGAAAACATCGGAAGTCAGCAAGTGGAATAGTTCTCTCAGTAAAGTTGCAGGAATGCTCAAACTTTGTGGGTCATGAATCCTGGGAACACCCACATAAAGTTTTATTCTCTGTTCCCAGTCATTTGTGTATGTGCAAGCAACTAAGGATTTAACCAGCAGTGAGGAACATACAGCCAATTCCAAACTCCAAAAAAATTAAAACAGATCAGCAAATGAGAAACACAAGTCAAAACAGGCAATCTCCATACAAGTCATCTAGATACTGGCAACATTAAGAGGTTTGTAGTTCAGGTACCGCTGTTTTCAGAGTGATCAAAATGCAGGTGAATGTTAAATAAGTTATGTCGAAATACTTCAATGTTATTTAATGAAAGCTACAGCAAGTGGGAGTCCAAAGAGATTTAGAGATCCATGTACACAGATCTCTACAATGTAAACAACAGATACAAAATAAAATGAGAAAAGCTAGTGGAATGCTGGCCTTTATATTCAGCAATGTAGGATATAAAGTGGATGAAATTTTGCTAGAGGTATACAAAGACCCCACATCTTTAGTACTCAATACAGTTTCAGGTATTCTGTCTTAGGTAGGATGTATTAATCTTGGAAGGAGTACTGTGCAGGCACAGTAGATTCACAGGGTTAAACTATGGGAAGAAACTACATAAACTAGGAATATTGAAAGTTAAGGAATGATTTGAGACAATTTTGAGAGATTGCAAGGGTAGATAGCATACATATCTTATGTTGCTAGGCCGAATCTAAGTCAAGGGGCATAATTTTAAAATCAGAGTCAGGCAATTCAGAAGAAAGACAGAGTTAATGTTTTCAGTTTGTTACAACTCTTCTTAAAACAATTCAGAAGTTGCAAAACAGATTTTCGCACTAAAGGTGGTAGTAATCTGGTACTCTTTTTCCACAGGAAGCAGTTGACAGTAGCTTAATTAATCATTTTAAATCTGATATTGATAGATTTTTGCTGGCCAATGCTATTAAGGGACATGAAATTGAGGCACGTGGATGGAGTCAGGATATAGATCAGCCATAATCTTACTGAATGGTAGCCTAATGTTCCAATGTTGAGGACAAGAAATAGTGAGAAAAATAGTCCTTTGTTCCATTTTTGCTCGAGGTTCTTAAAGTAAAATTATGCGGTTTAATGCAAAAATCCAAAATATTTTGCAGCAGGAATTTGAGTTAGGGGACTAGCTTTTTCCTCAAATCCAATGGGTTTATCATCATAGAATCATAGAATCCCCTACAGTGTGGAAACAGGCCCTTCGGCCCAACAAGTCCACACCGACCCTTGGAGCATCCCACCCAGACCCATTCCCCTATAACCCACCTCATCTACAGACCACTGAACACTACGGGCAATTTAGCCTGACCTGCACATCTTTGGACTGTGGGAGGAAACCGGAGCACCCAGAGGAAAACCACGCAGACACGGGGAGAATGTGCAACCTCCACACAGACAGTCGCCCGAGAGTGGAATTGAACCAGATCCCTGGCATTGTGAGACAGCAGTGCTAACCACTGAGCCACCATGCCATTACAAAAATCAATTTACTGAAAATCCTTCAAGTAAAAGTTGAACAAGAACTCAAAGTCTCCAAAGCTTCACTTGCAAGCCAGAAGCAAGAATGACAATAGCCCATTTAGGTAGGAGTGTTGGTGAGTACTGGTGCAAGGTGAACCTAAAGTCTCACTGAATCATGAATTAGTACAGGACAATTCTCCAAAGGTAATTAGGATCCATTTTGTATAACGTGTATCAATTCAATCAAGATCATCTAAGAATATCCATGACATTGTTATATTAAGGCAGTAAATGACACAATAGAATTAAACCATTCTTTTTAACTATTTTGGCTTACAATTCACTAGTTCACTCACAAACTTACAATTCTGAAAGTCATACTAGCTATCAACTTCAGTCCTGTTACAATGACCCCTTGTAAACCATTTATTTACAATGTTTGAAAATCAATACAATGTGACAGGAACATCTTTAAAGACTGTGATGGCTAATTTTGCTGAGCATTCCCCCCAGTACACCTGAAAACGAATCTTCTCAAACTCAAGAGTTTGCTCCATCGTCCTCACTCTTCCCAACACAAACTAAACAGCGAAAACCGAATAACAAACATACAGGAAAATGAATTTAATGGTGTAAAGGAACACAAGCTAAAATGTTGGCCTCAAACTTCAAAGGATGCAGAGAGATTTGGTCAGAGTCGCAAAACATAATCCATTTGAAAGGTACTGTGTGGTAGATGAAAGCACTTATTATTTCTCTGAAAACTATGCACAGCAAAAGTATTGAGCACTCCTATCGTGGAATTCATCCTAGATTCCCCTCACACTGCTCTAATGGTGTAATTACTTCATAATAAGGAGTGTACAGCTTGCTGTCAGCTAACGATTATCTATATGTATGGTGCATCAACCTGAAGGGTTAGGAATACTTGTCTCACAGGTTTATCCATCTCTCAAGGATTATTTCCACCTTCTCCCCCTTGGAAAGGGGCACAAAAGCATGCCAAGACTTCATGATTGCTGAAAGCAATGACATGACTCAAAGATTACAGAAAACTGTCATCCATCATAATGGAAGTCCTGAAGTTAAGAAATTTAGGCAGGCGCAGAAAATCACCCAATAGTACACATAAACGTACTCAAAATACAGGACTTGTTCTGTTACTTGTTCATGACGTTAAGTCACGCTGCAACAAATTTACAATGCTACAGGGATTTCTGACACATAACAAAGTCCTGATGACACGGAAGTTTGAGAAAATCATATCAGATTGGCTACTTCAGGTTAGTGTACAAGGAGATCTTACGTTAAGGGTTAACAGAGGCAGTGACAAGCAAGAGGGTTGCCGAGCTGTGTAAACTCCTCTGCTCTCAAATTTGGCTTGAACAAAGCCTTTGGGAGACAGGGGGAGTTGCAGATTTCTAAAGCAGTTTAGGTGACCATTATGGTTCTATAAGCCTAATTAAATCTAATCCAACTGGGAGAAAGAAAAAAAGCGAAATAGAGAAAGATATAGGGAAGAAAAATAAGTTCCCCTGAGAGAAAGGTTAAGTTGTGAATAACACTTTGGCTGCATGCACTACAGCCCCAACTAGGAATAAAAGACAAGAAGGCACAAAGAGTAAACTCATCTCACAGGCACAGACATCAGTGATAAATACACAGCTCAGCTGATAACATCTCATTCTCCAGCTCGTCTTTGTCAATGAGACTGACACGAGAACTGCCTCCAGGATCGATAGTCCGTGTGGCGTTCCCAATGTTAATCTTGGCCCGAGGTAACAGAAGTACAACTTGGTGCTTTCTGCTATCCCTCAGATGATGCTTGAGGTAATTTTTTGTTTTTGTTTTCTTTTTATATGACATAAACAAGTTTATTTTTCAGAAAAAAGAGGAAGTCTGGTCCACAGACGACATGTTGCAGAATTTCAATTTCGAGCCACATGGTGCCTAAAGGTTGTGGTTTCAGTTTTTGCAAAAATGATCGCCTTCATTTCTCATTGGCCTCTCCCGTACCGTAGATTTTATTTCTAATGCTACATTATTGGAATAAATGAATTGTAACGTATTTTCTTCAGGAAAAGTCTATATGCTCCATGAAGATGGCTACTGGTACGATGGCATTAAACCATTGTAAAATAAGTTCTATCCAAGTAGTTAAGGCTAGTACTAATTTCTAGGATCTTGTACAATCACAAAAGGTGGACGTCTACAGATGTACGAGGAGTATATTAGTAGAGTTCATCTGCATGTATGCAGAAGTGGTATATAATCTATGTTGGGGAGAGGGGAGGAGAAGATTCTCACGTTAATGATTGGCTGACAGTAGGTTTTTCTTCTGAGCATGCTCGATAATTGCTGTGTAACAGAAGTAGTACTGATCAGGAGTCTGGATGCTGAAGGCTCGTTGTGTTCGCATCCTTCGGACGGTTTGGTATATGTTGAGAGTACCCACATCTTCCAGCTGAGAAAGGCATATATCCAAAGTGCACAGAGTGCCTAGAGAGTTAAAAATAAGTAGCATAAGTATGGGTCTGAACAAAACACATTTAACAAGTTCAATTAGCCACTATTATTAAATTTAACAAAAGTTTACATTTATACGATGAATTTCTATCAAATAAATCTTATAAGAACAATTGAGTACACCGTAAGCTTCAACTATGAGTCTGTTTGATATTTACCACAACCCTTAATCTACAGGTCTACTGAGGTAAATTACACCTCAGCGTTCTCAACAAAGGCCACCATCCACCTCCTGAGTTCCACACCCAAATCCAGATTTGTCCCACTGAGCCAGTATACTTAGAAGTAACAGAAAGGGTTGATGAGGACCATATTGTTCAATTTGTGTACATGGATTTTCGAAAGGAATTTGACAATGTACCAAATAATAGAATTGCTAGCACAATTCAAACCCATTAAAAGGACAATGGCAACACACATACCAAATTGAGCAAAGGACAGAAAGCAGAGAGTAGTGGTGAATGGCTGATTTTGCAAGTTAGGGTCAGGTTTATAGTGCCAGAACCCCAGGTTTGATATTAGGAGTACTGTGCTTTTTGATATATGTTAAAAATCTGACTGGCATATATACGACATAATTTCAAAGTCTGTATATGATGTGAAATTCAAATGTAGCAAACAATAAGGAGGATAAGAACAGACTCAGGAAGTATGTAGATTGATGAAATGAGCAGACCTTTGGAATAAGAAATTGAATACAAAGTAATGTTGAGCACTATATTTTAAGTGGAGGAATGAAGACAGGCAACATAGACCACATGGTACAATTTTAAGGGGGAAAAAGAAAAGAAAAACCTGTAGATTCATGTTCACAGAAGTTTGAATGCAGCAGGACAAGTTGGGATGCATATGGTTCCTTTATTAACAGAATACAAAAGCAAGTAAGTTATGCTAAACATTTATAAAACACTGGCGTGAGTATTCAAGTCTGGGCACCACACTTTAATAATCAGGTTGAGTCCTTAGAAAGCACACAGGAGATTTGTCAGAATGTGGTGAGAGACATGGATTGACAAAGGTGGAGAGACTGGAGAAGTTGCTGTTATTCTTTTTAAAACAGACAGTTAAGAGGAAATTTGGTACAGGTGTTCAAAAATCATGACTGGTTTTGAGAGAGTAAATAAAGCCAAAGCATTTCCAACAGTAAAGTGGGAACTGGGGAATGGAATCTAGGTGATTGGAAAATAAATCAGGGTGACATGAGTAAAGATTTCTTCACGCAGCAAGTTGCTGCAATCTGGAATCAACTGGCTGAAAGGATGATGGAAGCTGATTTGATAATAATCTTCAAAGGAGAATTGAATAAATACTTTGGGGAAAATACTTATAGGGCTGTGAGGAAACAGCAGTGCTTGAGAAGTAGAGGCTTGGTGTGTAAAGGCCAAGAAGCTATGCTAACCCTAAATGCTGATTCGATTCTAGGTGAGTCTGTTCCTATCCTCATTGTTTGCTACGTATGGTAAAACAAAGCTACATTTTAAATTAAGAAGTATATCCTTGTGCTAAAAAGAACTTAAACTTGCTGAGGAAACTGAACAGAGGAAAGCTGATTCACCAATTTTCACCTGGTTGTGACACCATATACACCTCTATCTCAGTCAAACTGAAGCTGAAACCCTCATTATCAAAGCTTTTGTTGCTGGTGTACGCTTCAAATTCCCTCTTGGGCAGTCTTTGACCTTGTCTCCTAAATAAAGGTGAGCTCATCCAAACCCTGATGCTGCATCCTAGCTCCAACCAAGTCAATTCACCCATCACTCTGAGCTTCATGACTTATTTTAGCTACTGGTCTAATAGCTGAATGGTTACAACATTAACATCTGTGTTTTCAAATCACTTGAGTGTTCCTCCTCTTTGAATCTCTGAAGTGCATCTCTGGCTACTCAATCCTGAAACAGAAATCTATGTTGAGGTTGTTGACTTGCTCGCCGAGCTGGCCTGTTCTCGTTCAGACATTTTGTCACCATGCTAGGTGACATCATCATTGGATCCTCCGATGAAGCAATGTTATTCTACTCTGCTTGGAATTTATACTGAACGAGAACAAGCCAGCTCGGCGAACAAGTCAACAACCCCACCCACAACCCGAGCTACAGATCTTTGCCAAAACTTTAGAAATCTATGTTCCTGGAATGGTCTCTTGTACAACCACATTAGCAGCTATGTCTTCAGTTGTCTCTGCCTTAAGCTCGGAAATTGTTCACTAAATCTTGGCCCATCTTTCCTCCTTTAAGAAAGTTCCTTGAAATCTAGCTATTTGACCAAATATTTGATCATCTGACCTAACATTTCTTTATATGACGTGATGTTAAATTTTGTCTGGTAGCACTCTTCTGCTGCGTTGGGATATTTTGCTCTATTAAGGGTTCTATATAATTGAAAATTGTCTTACTAACTGGTATAACTTGCTGTAAAACATACCGCTGTGGACAAGATACAAGTTGGAACTGATCTTTCTCCATGGATGAAAGGTCCTTAGAGCTGGGACTCCCAAACCTTGGGACACGGGACAAACAATAATGGTTGCTACCCGAGTCAGCTTCAAGGTCTCTTCACATAGATGCCCAATCCTTTCTTGGCCTTAGATCAGTGGGAAGATGGGAAGAAAGGGAATGAACTCTAATGCTCCTCCCACAGTGATGGCCACACTGCACACAGATTTTACTTGGGCCCAATTCACTGTGAGGGAAGGTGTGACCTCCACAAGGGTGGCATGGTGGCTCAGTATTTAGCACTGCTGCCTCTCAGTGCCAGGGACCTAGGTTTGATTCCACCCTCCAGTGACTGTGTGGAGTTTGTACCTTCTTCCCGTGTCTGCGTGGGTTTCCTCCAGGTGCTCCGGTTTCCTCCCACAGTCCAAAGATGTGCAGGCTAGGTGGATTGGCCATGGTAAATTGCCCATGGTGGCCAGGATGTGCAGGCCAAATGGACTAGCCATGGGAAATGCAGGGTTACAGGATAGGGGGTGTGAGGGGGATGCTCTTTGGAGGGTCGGTGTGGACACAATGGGCTCAATGGCCTGCTTCCACATTGTAGGGACTCTATTCTATGAAATCAATCAACAGGAACTCCAGTTGGAAGACCAGCAAATAGAGGAGGGATGTCATATTGCAATTGGAAGGCTGGGTGAGGAGGATTAGGGGCTGAAAACAGCCCTGTGCATAAAATTCCAGTTGTACCTAGTGCTTCTCTAATCTGCAGCTTCACAGCCTAACGGAGTAATTTTGATAATTAATAACAACTTGTTCTAACACCATGAACAAGTTTTAATATGAAGCTTCTATGTGATTACAAATTAAAAAACTAAAACTAAAAAAGAACTACAATAAGGTTTTCCTTGGATTCATAAACGTTTCTGCTAAATTTTAAGAAAAGCCAAAATGGCTCATTGGTCAGCAAGTGCTGCCTAGCTTGGATGTCAGCCTTTAATCCCATAAATTTCTTTAGTACCCTCTTTTTACTATACTGATTTCCTCCAATTCCTCCATCTCACTTTGGTGCCCTAACATTTCTGGGAAATATTTTGTGACCTGTTGTGAAGATAGACGCAAAACATAGGTTTAATTCTTCTGTCATTTCTTTGTTCCCCAATATAATTTCTCCTTGACTGTAAGGGACTACATTTGTCTTTACTAATCATTTTCTCTTCAGATATTTATTGAAGCTTCTAAAGGCAATTTTTAATGTTCTTTGCAAATTTACTCTCGTACTCTATTTTCCCCATCTTTTGACCAGCCTGTGCTCTATGTATTTCATCAGGAGGACTTGGTTGGCAATCTCCCCTCCCAACTCTCGTATTTAACTCTCTAAGGAGAATCAACTTACCTCATTCTGGGTCATGGGACAATGACTGATTCAGGCTGGAACAGACTTCCTTTTTGGCCTAATCACTGCTTCTAGAGTTGGGGCATAGGCACTAATGACTATGGTGTGTTGCTTCTGGATTAGCATGAGCTGAAGGTTCCTGGATTGTTTGTGGAGTTGGCTCATTGAGACAGTCAACTAGTTTGTTGTTTTTATGGTGAAACCAATCTCATGGAGTTGGTATTCTTCCTCATATTTATCCATCTAAAAGGCTGCACATCCACCACTTTGTTCTTTGAGCTGTCCACCATATCTCACTCATGGCAGCAATGTCCGTTTCATAGTGCCAGAGTTCCCAAGCAATGTTGGCAGTGTAATGTTCAGCTCTGTTGCTGCGGAGATGGTCCATGAGAGTCCTGATGTTTCAGCTTCCAAACATAATTTTGTTTACAGGACTTTTTTAACATGGGGCAGCCACTGCACACCGACTACCACACGGTCCTGGCTGAGCAAAGTCTTTGTCCGATTGTGAGGATAACCAAGATGACTGTTGTCCAGATTCCACTACATAGATGGATTTCCAACACACAGATGTCCCATAACAAGCTCCGCCATTCTCTCAATCCTAGAAGCTTGCAGTTCTGCCTCCGAGGAGCCCTATGTTCTAACAGGCTAGATTAAACAGGCTGGAGTACTTTTCCTTTCGAAAAGTGAAGACTGACAGAATGATAAGATATAGGATTTTAAAATTATGAATGAGTTTAATAGATTAGAAGAAGATTGTTCCTATTTATGTGGTAGCCCAAAACTAAGGCAGGCATAAACATTAGTAGATCACTACTAAATCGAAGAGGTGATTCAGGAGGAATCTTTATCCAGAAAGTAGTGAGAATTTGAACTTTCCACCAACTGGAGTAATTGAGACCATTGCACAGGGCACAGGATTTAGGTGATTGCTAAAAGCATTATGAAGAACTTCCTTAAGCAAAGAGTAGCTAGGATCTGGAAAGCATGTGCATCCAATTTGAATAATATTTTAAATGAGACTTGAATCATTAGTGAAGGAGAGGAAATTGCAGCGATACAGGGAAACAGTTAGGGAAGCGGGTTAACAGGATTGCTCTTCAAAAGACGGGATGTACATTCAACGGGCTGAATGGCCCCCTTCCGTACTATGATTCTACAGCAAGTTGGATTAGGACATAGATAAGGCAGTAGGTGAATGATATGTTCATAGGGTGAGGTGAAGTATGTCAGGAGGGTGCTAATGTAAAATATAATTTCTGGCATGAACAATTGAGCTAAATATCCTGAATCTACACTGCAAACACACTAATTCTAAACACTGTCACTGTAAACTAAAATTACACATGTTGCACTATAATTCAAGGTCAGCAGTGATGATTTGCAGTTTTACCACTAGGGAGCACCAAACAGCAAAGCAGCAAAAGTGTTGATGTCAACACAGTGTGGAGCTGCAGCAGCACAACAGGTGAGGCAGCGTCAGAGGAGCAGGTAAGTCGGCATTTCGGGTCAGGCCCTTTCTTTCTGAAGAAGGGTCCCGACCCGAAACATCAACATTCCTGCTCCTCTGATGCTGCCTGGCCTGCTGTGTTCCTCCAGCTCCACACTGTGTTGTCTCTGACTCCAGCATCTGCAGTTCTTGCTACCCCAAAGAGTTGGTGTTCCGTTCATGACGTAGTCTATCAACGTTGATTAGAGAACAAAAGCAAGACAATGCTATGTCAAGTGGTCAAGATTTCAGATAATAGATAAACACTGCCAGAATCTTGGAGCTTAAATACCATAGATGCTCAAACTGTAAACATTCATTGAAACCTACGCTGTCTATAAGCTACTGGAAACAACAATGAAACTATGGTATCTAGTAACTTAAAGTTTACAGCATGCGGGTGTAACTGGCACAGTGGCATAATTATTACTCATTGCAGAGAGGTTGGTGGTGAATCAGCTTCTTGAACCACTGCAGTCCATGTGGTGTATGTATGCCCACAGTGAGGTTGAGAATTCTGTCCCATCCAACAGGAAGAAACATGTGCTGTAGGTCCAGGTGAGCATGATGGGCAACTTGGAAGGAAACCTTCAGGTGCGATTCCATCTACTTGCTGCACTTGTCCTTCTAGCCGGTAGAGGGCTAGAGTTTTGGAAGGTGCTGTCAAGGAAGCTTTTAGAAGTGGCTGCAGTGCACCTTGCAGATGATTTACACTGCAGCTGTTGAATTAATTGAATGTTTAAGATGTTGGACAGTGTGTCAAATCAAGCAGGGTGCTTTATCCTGGATGTAATTGAGCTTCTTGGTGTTATTAGAGCTGCACCCATGCAGACAAAGAATATTCCATCACAGGCCTGAGTTGTAGGTTATGGAAAGACTTTGAGCAGTCAGTATGAGAGCTGCTTACTATGGATATTTCCCCAGCCTCTCATCTGCTCTTGTGGTTATCGTGTTTAGGTGCAATAATTAGTAACTGGAGTGGTGTGGGTTCAGGGTGTAAGGAAGAGAATAAATAACAAAAAAGCGAGGTAGCAGGTATTCTGTAAACTTGAAAGTGAACTATTCTTTCAAAGTCATTAGGTCAAAATTCTGTGGGTGTACCTACACCAAATGGATTTCAACAGTTCAAGAAGGCAGCCCACCAGCAATTATTAAGGACAACTAGGAATGGGCAATAAATGCCAGCCCAGCCAACAATGTCCAAATCCCATGAGTGAATTAAAAAAAAACACAGGCCAGCTTTCACACTTCACCCATTGGTTAGATTAGGAGCACAGGAATCAGGTGAATGGCTAACACAGATCAGAAAGGCCAAGACAGCCAAGGACAGATAATTCTCAAGATAAAAAATATCCTAGCTTACCAGACCAATAACTGTCACCTCTGTTAAGTGCACTAAAGTCTGCTTGGTTTCATAGTTTTTCCTATTTTGAGCAAAAATAGCACAAGGAGATGTCAAACATCTGCCTCAGAACTATCAGCCTCTCCTCTGTCCCTTTAAATCAGCAACATAGCAGGTTTTTGTTATTTTATACAATACCAGTTCTCCCAATGCCAGCACTGCAGTGGACAACAATGGGTGGCCCTCCTGGGTGTCCCTTCCACCGGTTACCCAGGCTTTGGATAGAAAGACCTTGCTGCTGTCGGACAGCTGATCGAAAGTCAATGAGAGCTGTTGCTGAAGATGGGACTCCATAATCTGGCCAGCTCAGGTACTGGAAGTGAATCACCTGGCGCCTCTCATTGGACTGCAAGAGAAAAGAAAATTAAAACCAGCACAAGAGGTTTTTTTAGCTCAGTGGTATATAATTTTCTTAAACAATTTTTTTCCTTCTCCACTCACAGCAGGTTGTGCTGAGTGGGCAAGCAACTAATTCACCAATCTTTACTGAAGCTCCTAAAGTGAACTAATGCATGGATGTGACTTGCCTTGATCACCGTCAAAGAGCCCATGATGGACATGGCAGGAGTGCAAGCCTGTTGACCATGCCGTACTTGGTATGGCAACTTTAGCTGGAGGTGCTTTTGTACTCTAATCTTGCTGGCGGACTTAAGGGTAGTTACAGTCCGTAAAGACATTAGTGAAGTAGGCAGGTTTTTACGACAATCAACGTGGTCATCGCTTGATTGCAGATCATTTTTTAAAATTTTTAGTTCAAATTCCACCAAATGCCATGGTGGGATTTAAACCCAGGTACGCAAACATTACCTGGGTCTCTGGATTAATAGTCCAGCAATAATGCCACTACACCACTGCCTTCTATGATATCACATGTAGCGAAAGTGCTGAAAGCTGCACTTAAATGAATCTAAACAATACAAACAAAATTTGAAAATCATAGTATGATCAAAGTCAACATGGTTTAAGCGGAGGGAAATTTTGTTTGGTAAGTAAGATTTTGAGATTGTAACTGGTAGGGTTGATAAATGGAAAGCGTAGTGCTTTTGGATTTAGGCACATACTGGAGAACCACATAAAAAGGTTAATAGAAAAAATAAGGACTTATGGAGTTGAGGGTAACATACTAGCATCTGCAGTGAATTGGTTAAAGTACAACAAGCAGAACATAGGAATAAAAAGGGAATTTTCAAGTTGTCAGGCCGTGACTCATTGGTTGCCACAGTTATGGGGCATCAACTATTTGCCATCTACGTTAATGACTTAGATGAAGAGTGATGTATCTAAGTTTGATGATGAAAAAAAGTTAGGTAGGAATGTAAATTTTGAGCAGGCTACAAAGTGTAATGATATAGACAGGTTAAGTGAGCGGGAAATATGGCACATGATGGAGCATTACATGGGGAATTGTAAATTATTCACTTTGGTCATAGGAATAGAAAAACAGAACCATTTTTTAAAAAGTGCTAAACTTTTGGATGTTAATGTCAAGATAGACTTGAGTATTATCAATTCATGGACAAGGTCCATTCAGGCTGACTAATTTCTGCCACAAATCTTCAAAAGATTGAACAGGTCGTTGGATGCAATGAAGGCTACCTGGTGCTGTTCTTGACATTTTCTTTTGAATTTGTCTGACAACAAATGTCCACGACAGAGGTGTTCTGGAAGGTCTACAGCCACACATTTTCTGGGAAGATTTTCTCAGGTGCAGGAAGTAGGTGGTTCAGGAGAATGCATATGAGGATGTTCCTTGCTTCGGACAACAGAGAAATAACTTGTTTCTACAGCATGATTTTTCTTCCTTTTTGAGGAAGTCATAACTGCTGCATCTCTGAAACTGGGTGCAGGGCCATGGAGTTCTTTTTCATCCAAAATCCATAGGATGGTTGGAGTCTTGATGTGAGCAAAAATCCACCAACTTTGGGCACCTTGGCTAGATTACAAATAGACCAGAGGTTTCCCTATATTTGATCCATTTGATTGCTCATTGGAGTTCTCCATTTATGGTGCTTCATCAATGGATTCCATCACAGGGTACTGGGGATTAGCTTTGAAGAGAGCTTACAGACGCCACCATAGCATCCCAGTTCAAAGTTACTCAACTGTCCTTCATCTTTTGAATTGGTTATATTCATAAGTTAGGATGCAGGAACAACAAGCAATTAGGACAGAAGATGCATGTCAGTCTTTATTGCAAAGGATTTGGAGTGTAGTAGGGGAATATTGCTACATTATACAGTGCGTTGGTGAGGCCACGTGTGAAATAACCATGAAGTTTGGTCTCCATATCCAAGGTAGAATATACTTGCATTGGAGGCATTACAGTAAAGGTTCATTTGATTGGTCCCTGTGATGCTGAGTCACTGAATTAAATTGTATTTATGCTCTCTGGTGTTTAGAAGAAAGTGAGGTGACCTCATTGAGACATACAATTTTCCAGTGCAGGCTATGCCTAATTTGTGTCTTTAAACTATTGTGCATGAGTGGCTGAGCAATTTTACTTTCTCTGAAGAAAGAAGGCAGGTAGCATAACAGTACTGTGAAGGAGAAGAGATTATTTTTTTTCCCCTTCACTGTCCTGACCAATATGTATCCTTCAATTGGTCATTATCACATTCCTGCTTATGGGAGCTTGCTGTGTGAAAATTGCTAGTAGTCCTACATTACCACAGTGACCAAATTTCAATAGAATTTAATTGATATAGGGCACATTTGGATGTTTTGAAGCCTATATACAAATCTTTCTTTACTTTTTATCTAAGATATATAAACGAATATGGCAGTCAACCTGTATGTAGCAAGATCTCACAAAGAACAAGAGATAATAACCAGATAATGTGTTTTTGCTCATGTTGTTTGAGAGACAAATATTTGACTAAACGAGTAGGGAACTCCCCTAATGCTCTTCAAATAGTGACTCCCTCGGATTGTTCACATCCAACTGAAAAGGTGGCAGCAGCTGAACATCTCACCAATAAAAGGTACTTCAGGAAGATTATAGAGGGAGTGTAGCACAGATTCACCAGAATAATATGAGGTCTCAGTTAGGTGGAATTAGGAAAATAAGCTGTATTAACATGGTACCTTTCCCTATGTCTTGAAAAGGTTAAGGCTGCTGTAATCTAATTGTTTAAAACAAAAAAACAAAAAACCTTAAAATTACAGCCAGGCGGAATAGACTCCAGGGGTCGAAGAGTCTACTTACTCCTACTATGTACCTTGATGAACTGATCATTATTAAATGTGGCTTTATCCCAAAACATGTCAAACTCATAAAGTGAGAATATTTACACAGAGCTAAGTTGATACAATAGAAGTTGAGAGTTGGAGATTTCAATTCAAAACCCTTCAATCAGTGTCCCTTCCACCATTTCATAGAACATAGGAACAGGAATAGGTTATTCACCCCTTTGAGCCTGCTCTGTCAATCAATATGATCAAGGCCATCATCCCGCTCAGTGCCATACCTTTGATCCTTTAGCCCTAAGAACTATATGTATCATCTTCTTACATTCAATATTTTGGCCTCAATCACTTTCTTTAGTAGAGAATTCCACAGGTTCACTGCTCTCTGGATGAAGAAACTTCCCTTTACGTCAGTCCCAAATGACCTACTACCCCAGTACCCTTAGACTGTGACCCTTGGTTCTGGACTCTCTCGTCATTGGGAACATCCTTCCTTTGTTTATCCTATCAAGCCCTATTAGAATTTTATAGGTTTCTGTGGGATTCCTTTTCATTCTTCTAAACTCCAGTGAATATAGTCCTAACTGATCTAGTTTCTCTTCACATTTCAGTCCTACCATCTCAGAATTCATTGTGGTAAGCTTCTGTTGCACTCCGTCCATATCCAGAACATCCTTCCTCAGGTAAGGAGACCAAAACTGCGCACAATACCCCAGGTGTGGTCTCACCGACTAGTACAATTGAAGCAACACATCCCTGCTCCTGTTGTCAAATCCTCTCATTATGAAGGCCAATGTACCATTTGCCAGCTTCATCATCTACTGTAGCTACATGTTTACTGTCAATGACTGGTGTACAAGGACAAGAAAGTCTCCTTGCACACACACACACACCCACACCCACACCCACACCAACAACCGCACGCCCCCCACACCACCACCACCACCACCCAAATCTATCGCCATTCAGATAACAATTTGCCTTCCTGGTTCTGTGACCAAAGTGAATAATGTCACATTTATCCACATTATACTTCACCTGCCATGCATTTGCTCACTCATTCAACTTGTTCAAACTATACTGAACCATCTCTGCACCCTCCTCACAGTTCACCTTCTGTTTTGTATCGCCCATTAGTGAGGCACACAGGGCTGAAAGTTCCACCCACAGTCAGTCAATATTAGCCAAGGTAGCCATGAGTACTGAAATGTTTGATGTGTATGGGTCAAAAATATCAGGACAACACAATGTGCTTAAGTGCAACTACCTACATAGTGGAACAGACTGTGAGCACTCACTGCACAAAACACTCAGGTGATGAGCAGATGCTTCTCAGGGTAGCAGAGGGTACCTGGTAGCCAGGGAACAATGCCCACAAGAAAAGGAAAGACTGGAGTGCAGTGGGAGAACAAGTCTTGGAAACAAATACTCCAGCATGCTGACAATTTCTACTGTTTGAATCAAGTTTATGGATCTTTTAATATTACTCCTGTTAAGAACAAAGAACAAAGAAAATTACAGCACAGGAACAGGCCCTTCAGCCCTCCAAGCCTGCGCTGATCCAGATCCTCTATCTAAACCTGTCGCCTATTTTCCAAGGATCTGTATCCCTCTGCTCCCTGCCCATTCATGTATCTGTCTAGATACATCTTAAATGATGCTATTGTGCCCGCCTCTACCACCTCTGCTGGCAACGCGTTCCAGGCACCCACCACCCTCTGCGTAAAGAACTTTCCACGCATATCTCCCTTAAACTTTTCCCCTCTCAACTTGAAATCGTGACCCCTAGTAATTGAATCCCCCACTCTGGGAAAAAGCCTCTTGCTATCCACCCTGTCTATACCTCTCATGATTTTGTAGACCTCAATCAGGTCCCCCACAATCTCCATCTTTCTAATGTAAATAATCCTAATCTATTCAACCTCTCTTCATAGCTAGTGCCCTCCATACCAGGCAACATCCTGGTGAACCTCCTCTGCACCCTCTCCAAAGCATCCACATCCTTTTGGTAATGTGGCAACCAGAACTGTACGCAGTATTCCAAATGTGGTCGAACCAAAGTCCTATACAACTGCAACATGACCTGCCAACTCTTGTACTCAATACCCCGTCTGATGAATGAAAGCATGCTGTATGTCTTCTTGACCCCTCTATTGACCTGCGTAGCGACCGTCAGGGTACAATGGACCTGAACACCCAGATCTCTCTGTGCATCAATTTTCCCCAGGGCTTTTCCATTTACTGTATAGTTCGCTCTTGAATTGGATCTTCCAAAATGCATCACCTCACATTTGCCTGGATTGAACTCCATCTGCCATTTCTCCGCCCAATTCTCCAATCTATCTATATTCTGCTGCATTCTCCAACAGTCCCCTTCACTATCTGCTACTCCACCAATCTTAGTGTCATCTGCAAACTTGCTAATCAGACCATTGATACCTTCCTCCAGATCATTTATGTATATCACAAACAACAGTGGTCCCAACACGGATCCCTGTGGAACACCACTGGTCACGGTTCTCCATTTTGAGAAACTCCCTTCCACTATAACTCTCTATCTCCTGTTGCCCAGCCAGTTCTCTAGCTAGCACACCCTGGACCCCATGCGACTTCACTTTGTCCGTCAGCCTACCATGGGGAACCTTATCAAACGCCTTACTGAAGTAAGAGTTCACAATCTTTATAATTTTTGAATTAACTGAATAAATTACACTAACCAACATAATCTGACAAGACAGTTCACCACGGGATTGATGCACTCAACACACAACTAAACCACCAGTCAAAAACCAGGACACAAAAAACTTTGTTTGAGGATACACTTCAGTCAGTTTCAGTTGTATATCTGATACATTGCGTACGCTTAAATATCCATTTCTTTGGAACTCTGCATTCATAAGAAATAATACCAAGAGTAGGCCATATATAAGCCTGTTCTCTCATTCAATAAAATTATGGCTGATACGTTACATTGGACGAATGGAAAGAAAGTAATATTCTATAGCTATAAAATGTGATTTAAACCATATGGGATTATACCATAGAGACTGTGGCAGATTCATTCTGTTCCTTCTTTTCAATTAGAATTTCTTTTATGGTAGCATTACAAGTACGAGCTCTTTTCCCTTAGCTAATTTCACCATGCGTGGGATGATGCATTTGACAAGGCAGTGATTGTTAACAATCTATTTCACAACAAACTAATTCCCAGGCACTTCACCACCCATTGACTCTTCCCCGGATCAGATGTGGGAACCAGATCAGTTTGCACACTTTCCACCTTTGGGATCCTCTGGAATTCTGACTGCCTCTCCGCTAGAGATCAGATAAACTCAGCAAGTCAGTGAGTTTGAAACTTTCTGGCTCAGTTTCACTGGCAGCAGCATACTGATTTAATGAGGGACCACAGAAAAGTAGTCTTTTAAAAGGGAATCTCAGGGTCAGTACTACATCTAAATGTCAATCCTGCACTCCATTTTACAAAGGAAAACACTCAGCTTTCAAAACAATGACAAACCATCACTACTGATCCTCTAATGTGAACTTATCACTTCAGCAGGACCACAATGATCACGCAGTGGTTCATTCTGATCTTCTAACAGGAGGAATTTCATAAAGGTAGATAGATTCTCCCAAACAACTCCATCTAAAAGGATGAGATCAGAATGTATACAAATCCCATCACGTGCCATCTTGACTTGGGACATATACCAGCATTGGGTCAAAAGTCTGCAACTCCCATCCTTACAGCAGGGTAGAAGCACCTTCACTATATGGACCATAGTGGTTTTACATGGAGGATCTTCACTCCTGCCATGGGAAAATGGCATTAAGGTAGATGATCAGGCGTGATCTAGAATGGTGGAGCACGTGAAGGGCTGACTATATTCCAATGTCACAAGGACCAATTAGGCTGGGCAGTAACGCTGGCTTTGCTGGAGATGTTCAAATTCTAATGATGATTATAACATGTAGCAAGAACTCTGGAGGAAATTAGCAAAAACAAGTGAAGGAAAGGTTACAATGATGACTGAAGGCAGTAAAGATTAATTTCAATAACCAAATATGAGTGCACGAAACAGCAAAGGTGCTAGTAAATCAAATAAAAACAGAAAATGCACCAAGTTAGCAGGTCATCAGCCTTAAATGCTACACCGTTTCTCTCTCCACAGTGACCACCTGGGTATTTCCAGCAGTTTCTGTTTTATTGCTGACATGAAAGTGGTACAAGTGTCCTGCTAACGTTCTGGCTGTAACATCAAGAACCTCTTATTCAAGACCAAATGCCCACCATCAAACCTACCTCAAGTGCCAAAGAAGCATTGTACTCTGAATGAAATCAAAACAGTTGAGTTAGTTCTTATTACCTTCTCTCAAAACAAAATGGAACAAGTATTAAGACAAGTCAACCAACAGTAAGCACATTGGATTAAAAGGCAGCTCTGAGATTTGAGTATTCAAGAATTGTTCAATTGTCAATTCAGTTCAACTATTCAATAAGCATTTTAAACAGGCACAAAGCATAATGATCCCTTACCTCTACATTCTGAATCTCTAGTGTTGTTTTGTTATAATGTTTAAAGTTTTCTACCGCCAGGCTTTTGACAGAAATAAGTCCATAGCTTCCTCGAATGTTCTGGTCCAGAGGCCAGTACTGACCACATTTTTTCCTGCCACTCTCGTCAATTCTAAAGCAATGAAACACACCATTAAAAAACATTACATGCAGACAAAATTATAGAAAAAGGAGGAATAGAAAGAAAGAAGATTATATCATAAGTTTTCCATTTTTTTTGGGATACAGTTTGCAGCCACTGAACTACTTCATAAATTTATTGAATAGAGGCAATTTTCCTAAAAGGACCTGAACATGCACTGACTGGGCCATAGGCAGGATATGGCTCACAACTGTAAATTCTGACATTGAATTAATTCTCAGCTGGCCCTTTGGAGACTCAAAGGGAGCAAAACTACAAGTCAACCAATATGGATGCATCCTTCCAGTAACTGGTTACACCAAACCGATCTGATATTGGAAAACAGGAGGCAATAAAAGCACTCTCCCATATCGACTTCAAAGTGGGTAGATTGCCAGGAAAAAAGGAACTGATACCTCAATGCTGGTCATCCTCAGCAGAGGAACAGGCAATGAAGGGACAGACTTTTCCACGTTAATGCCATTCAGGAGAGGGTGAAGGAAGAAAGTAGCAGACATTCACCACACAGAGTTCTTTTGGCATCTACAGATTTTAATACAACTGAGAGGAGATTATAGTTGGGAATTCTTTTTAAATCCTCTCTGGTGCCCTGCACTGACTGATATACAACAAGATATGGTTTTATAGGTGCTGTTTATGCTCCAGCACCCTGTTATTTTGCACTGATGAGTGCAGGGCATCCCTCTCCTCATCAGATGTTCTAACGACATTGACAAATGATCATAAATGGTCTTTGTGCCCCATTGTTTCAATTGCCCAGTAGCTCTGAAGTGAAATATAGTGGCTCCCATTGTCAATCCATTCAGTCCCTTCCTATCACTCTTAGTGGACCAATAATAAAAATAAATTGTTCTACCCACATTATCTATTTTTGACTGTTCAATGGACTAACAATATAATATAATGCAGCAAATCTGAAAAACTGGCATCTTTAATTTGCCAGAATTGAAAACATCCTGTTGAATCTCTTTTCTGTCTTTTGGCCAAGGTGAAGTCTAGACTTTATTTTGTAGATCTTGGGCGCCTCAGTTTAGTACGCATGGAATGCTTATTTGCATTTCAAGTACAGTGCTGGTTTCAACCTAGTTACTAGCAACAGATGCAGCAACTTTATTTCACATGTAAACAGTTAATTGTGGGTCAGTCCAGAGGGGCTCATGGTAAAGTCTGAGGAAACAGCCAAATCTTTGATCACATCCTCGTTTGAAATCCACTAAGACAGTACTTGGTCACAGAGTCAGACTCTTCAGTCCAACCAATCCATGCCGAACATAATCCCAAACTGAACTAATCCCACCTGCCTACTCCTCGGCCATATCTCTTTCCCAAACTATTTCACTCCATGATCTTGTTTGAGGTTTGTAAATTGTTGTGAACCCTCAGTGAGACTTGAGAGAACTAGGAGGGTGGTGGGGGAACAGGAGGGGCAGTGCAGAAAAACCATTTCTTTCATTCATTTGTGGGATGTGGGCGTTATTGGCTGGCCAGCATTTATTGCCTGTCCCTAGTTGCCCTTGAGAAGATGGTGGTGAGCTGCCTTCTTGAACGGCTGCAATCCACCTGCTGTAGGTTGACCCACAATGCCATTATGAAGGGAATTCCACCCATGAGAGTGGAGGTGGAGTTTGACCCTGCGGGTGAGCGGAGTGACCTGTGGGAGCTGGTGGAGTGAGCTGCTGAGAGAGCAGGTACCTATTCAAGCAGGAGCACAGCAGTTGTAACTTGGTTAGAGATTCATGGCAGCCATTGCTGACTTGGAGGTTGCAACCCCAAAATTTGAGCTTTGGGCCTCATTTGGGGTTCCAACACCTACTTTGGGAAGTCCTGCTGT